CATGCTATTTATGTTTGTTTTTTGCATGTTATGTTTATTTGTTGTTTGGAAAGCTATATAAAACTAATATAAACTATATAAATAAGGTTGTACTTACTTACTTACTTACAAAACCATACAATATTACAGCACTCTAGCACTATTCAACCCCACAGCTTGCAGTAACAGTATAATTTATATATATATAATTTTTTTTGCACTGTATGTTGTTCACTTGTATTTATTTTTCACCTACTTGCCCGTAAATAATAACTGCACGTCTATGTTTGTTTAGCCGGTTTAGATGTACAGACATAATGTGTTTTATATGATTTATACAAATTAAAGAGAAGTGAAAAAAAAAAAAACAACTGCTTGCAAACTTTCACGGCTGCGTGCTAGGAACAACGTCACGAATAACGGAATCTCTGAGCCAATCAAATTCCACAGCTGTGGCAATTTCGACCAATCACAGCGCCGCTGTCTTAATCGCTGTCTCACCAGCAACCACCCGTCCTGCAACGTAGTGTAGCATCCAGCTGGCTAGGAAGCTAACGCACAGACACACAGAAATATCCCTGCGCCGTCTTTTGGTTATGTTTTCTGCTTGAATTTACCCAAGTTACCAGTCGAGTCCGAGTGATTAAAGCGAAAGGGCCGGTGGAAGGTAAAGAGTCGTGTTTACTCCTCTGCTGTAGCTAGCTGAGCGTCGCAGGAGGGGGCGCAAATGGCACATAACGTGTTGTTGGTGTTAATATGTGGCAATTTACTGAGGTTAGCTAACATAAGTGCGTGGAAGTTTGTGCAAAAGCCTCCCACGCGTTCATTTTGACCAAATGTAAAGTAGTTTTGATCACACTGCTTGGTCGTGTTATCCTCGAAAAGAATGCATGTGTTTCCTGTTCGGGCGTTTTCTTACTTATAATTCCTGTTTGATGTAGTGAATGAACTTTCTTGGCATGGGAAATAACATCAAACGTGTGGCAGGATTGCTGATGACTTACCTCCGAGCCTTTCCCTCTAATAACTCTTCTGCCCCTCCTTTTTTAATGAAAGTTTTCTCTGACAACACCCTAAGTTTAATGTGTATTTCATTTCAACCGTGGATAACTTTGAGCTGAACTTCCTCCTTCAGATGCAGTTCATGCTGTTGTTCAGCCGGCAGGGAAAGCTGCGGTTACAGAAATGGTATGTGCCTCTGTCTGACAAAGAGAGGAAGAAGATCTCCAGAGATTTGGTCCAAACCATACTGGCGAGGAAGCCCAAGATGTGCAGCTTCCTGGAGTGGAGGGACCTCAAGATTGTGTACAAGAGGTGTGTGAATAAGAGAGCTGTGATATATATATGCACTTCCTTATACTGCTTCCTCTAATACACATACAGACACACAGACAAACATGCGACAGAGATGCATTTGGTTTTTCTCTCTGGTTGTTTCCAGTGTTTTGTTGCTCTACTTATCTGGGGCTTGTTATGAAACATACTTCTTATTTTACATCATTTAAATCCGTGTGTTTAAACCAAATCAAGTTTGCAAAAGCTGCTGACAAGGTGCTTATTATGAGATACTGCAGCTACCTTTTAACATGTTGAGTACTGAAGTTCATTCCTGGCTATGGAAATAGTAGTTTCTTATTATAATCTTAACTCCAGGAGCTTTACTTTGCTTTCTCAAAGTTATTGCAGTATGATGGATGTACAGATGGACTGATTTCACTGAGATGTGGTTGAAAAACCTGAAAAAACCTTAAGATTAGTTTATCAGACCATGAAATATTCCACAATGGTCTCAACAGATTGCACTAGTCTTTGGGGTTTAGTAATAGGATGTGTTAACGTTTGATTTGTTGCATCACTTCTGTATCTGTGGTGACTTGTTGGGGTTGTTGTGATTCACTGATTACTTTGTCAAGCACTAAGATTCCTGGCATTCAGATCTCACCTTCTGCTGTGTTATAAAAGCCAGAAACACCCCCTCTCGTCTCGAGCAACAACCGCCAAACAATGGAGGACAGCGTTACAAATGTATAAGGGGTGCCTGATTTGTTATGGACTTCTGACTGCTGAGTCATACAATTACAAAAGACACATGTGTTCAATATAAGAAACTAATAAACAAAGACAAACAACAAAACAGGCAGGAGACAGTGATATAATGCTGCAATGTACAATCTAAGGCGATTCAGTTTAATAAACATGCAACAGGAATAATATCTGTGTAAAGGTCGCAATGTTCTGTTTTTGTTGATGTGGATTAAAATGTATTGTATTATTATTATTATTATTATTTATTGTGGCAGGATGGTACACGACATTATTGTTTTGTTGGTTCAGATGCACAATGATGTATCCATAAAACATTAAAGATACATGTTATTCAGGAAGTAAATATAATGGATTTTTGTACACACCACAGTCTTGTTAACCTGTGTGCTTTCCTTCATTTCATTTCTCGATGCTGTAGATATGCGAGCCTGTATTTCTGCTGTGCAGTAGAGGATCAGGATAATGAGCTGATTACCCTGGAGATCATCCACAGATATGTGGAGCTGCTGGACAAATATTTTGGCAGTGTGAGTCTCATAAACATCACACGTAATATGCTTATTGAGAGTGTTTTTTTCTTTGGGGGGGGGACAATATACAGTTCAAGGTTTTCAGTCAGGACGTCAGTAGGTCTCTGATTTGTTGCTGTTTGTGGTGTTGTGGCCTCACAGGTGTGCGAGTTGGATATTATCTTCAACTTTGAGAAGGCCTACTTTATCCTGGATGAGTTCTTGCTTGGCGGAGAGGCCCAGGAGACATCCAAGAAGAATGTGCTGAAGGCCATTGAGCAAGCCGACCTGCTGCAGGAGGTACGCACAGTTCTTTATCTACAGATAGCTGAACCCGCTAGACAGACCAAATTTAGTTGCAGGTGAACAGTCGATGCCGATTAGCCTGCAGAATATCTTCTCAATTAATCAGTTGTTTGTTCTGTAAAACAATTTGGGAAAAAATAGCCATCGCAAGTTTCCACTTGTTTTGCTTGACCAACACTCCTAAACCCCAAAGATATAAACTGTCATTTGAGAGGCAGGAAACTGCAAATGAATTTTCTGTTGGGTTTGCTGTCTAACACCCAATAAATAATATCTAGAAATATTCACTGAGCGATGCTTAAGTTCGACAAAGACAGAGGGGTAGAACTGAGATGTTGATGGATTGCTCTACACCTGCCGCCACCTGCTTTTATTTTAGGCCTGCAGTATTTGATTAATACCTCTCTCTCCCTGCATGTCTGCATTGCTGTCCACCCGTAGTCGTTTGCAGTCAACACAATCGGGGCTCAGTGATTTATTTATAGCAAAGCATGCAGCACTATTGTAATAACAGCATGGCTGACTGTGCAGGCCTGTAAAAGGTTTAACCTCGCTGGAAAGGCCTCCTGTTCCCGTCACACATTTAGCCACTTGCAATTATGACTCATGCACTATTAATTATAATTTGGTGGGGTGTTACAAAATGTGTGACAGATGAACAAACGGACAGCTCGACAACAAGGCACATTTATCTTTCTTTTGTCCATCTGCAGGAGGCTGAGGCACCACGGAGCGTTTTAGAAGAGATTGGGCTGACATAAACCGTCATGCTGCTGCCTCGCAGTTCTTTGTCCCAGATGCAGATCTGGCAACCTCCCTGTCTCTATCCTGTCTTCTCCTGTTCACAGTGTCAGTGTTGTATGTATATAATCACCATCTATGTACTGTATTATTCTGTACTGTACTATCCTGTAATGTCCTTTTAATGTGGTGCCAACTGTGGTTTAAATGTGATTCCTATGTACAAGCTCCCTCACTGTATTCTGCAGTACTATTAGCATACTTCGCTCCCCTAATGTCTTGAAACTCCACAGAGTACAATGTAGCGGCGACATGAAAACTCCAGCGTCATATTAAGGTTATCCATCATCACCGATTGCAGAGTTGTATGTGCTGTTTGGCTTAAAGGACTTTCTAAGGTGCTGTTGTAGCCGAAGTTGGTGCTTCTCGTGTTTCACCGTTGCATTCGAGTCAAAGAGCTAAGCATCCCATGTCATGAAAAATTAATACTGTGATCTTTGAAACACCCAGAAGGTTGTTTAACAAAACTTACCGCTCTTCTGAAGGTATTTCTTAATCTTCAAAGACTCAATTTTGACAGCCACACACAAAAAAAAGTTTGTAACTTGTTTCTTAAGTTGACTGTTTCTTAATCCAGGTTGGTGGAAAATAATAACACATTATTTCATTTATAATACAGGAAAGAACCATAAATAAAGTAGTTTTTTCTTTGATTAAAGTAAAAATGGTGCCAGGAGATACACCATTTTGTGCTATTATTATTATTAAAATAAAAAAAATAGTGGACAGTATTATTCTTTTTTTATCTAGATGTTAGAGTATTGCAAGACTCTATAAATATCTTCAGAACACCAGCAAGTGTTACTAAATTCCAAGATTTAATTTAAAGATCAGGTATTTATTTTATTGGATCTGATGTCCAGCTCCGACTCAAATGTAAAGGGAACACGAGTGGCATCAAGTGGGGCTGTTGTTGGAATCACTGACACTGTTACAATCACTTATACACGCGTAAGTTCAACCCACCAATTCAGTGAAATTTATCAATTACCCATAATCAGTATCGGTGTATACATTAAGTAGGTTTGTACAAGTTTGTGTTTGGTGCTTCCCCTCCAGAACTTAACCATTTTGTATTTCTTTTTCAAGACTAATTGTTTTGGTAACACATTTATTTTCTGTTCTGTGTCCTGTTTGTTAAAAGTCTTTATTTTTCTGACAATTGACTTATTTTCTTTACAAAATCGCTTGTTTAACATGGAAGTTTATAATGGCCTCTGGAGATAAATCTTAGGTCAGTCTCCCTTAGTCTTAGGTCAGGATAGGACAGTGACCAAAATGAAAGAAACACTATTTTCTGTATTATGATAGTTTGGCCTGCTCTTTAAGACTAACATATGACCAAAGAACACTGTGTTTTACCTTCTCAATGGTGTCTATAGAAGGCTAACATGGCAGAAAAGGGATTTAGAACTGCAGGATGTTTGATGTTGTTGATTTGGCCACACTATACCAGTATTAGTATTAGTATTTTAATCTGTTTAAAGGCAGGACTATCCTGAGTTTCTTTATGGAGCAAGAACGTAAGAAGATGAACTGCACATATCAGGGTACATCAATAATATTCATTACTGTTGGCTTGTTCACTTATTAGTAGGATGCAGGAAAACAGGCCAACAAGTAATGAATAGATATTCATCCAAACTGTATGGCTGTCACATTTTTTTATCTGCATTCTTAAAACCACAGTGTTTTCTGTCGAACATTCACAAGTAATTATTAAACAAGTTCATCTCTGATTTGTGCAAAAGAAATCACTTTTTGTATTAAACACTGCCAACACATTTGCCAACATTTTTTTTCTTATATTTGAAAGTTATTAACAATAAATGTATTCAAAAAGAAAACTAATTTGTTTATCTTTTGTTTTTTTTACTCAATAATAACCACGTAGTGCCACAGCTCCAGTGATCCAGTATTCAATAATTCAAGCAACATGAACTATTTTCCAAAAGCAAAATATTCACAAATGTACATACTGGTGCTAATTTACTGTATCACTGCTCAAAAAAATTCACTTTATTCCTCCAAATACATTCACATCATTATAAGGGGAAAAGCCAGACTGAAGTGACAGATTTTCAGATGTAGGAGCCACTAAGAGGTACTTGTGTCAATGTTTCCGGCAGGTTCATTTGGTATTTGTGTGTTAGACTGTTCCATTTCCACCTCAAGACTAAACTTCTTCTCACTTTCAACACAGGGACTTTCATCCAACTCATTGTTTTTCTGAATTAGCTCCATTTCATTTATCTCCTGACTGGGACTCGTTGCAGTGAGCTTCTCCTCTGTCTCTTCCTTTGACACTCTCTCCTTTTCTGACTCTCCAGATGATGTCGTCCCTTCAGGAAAATGGCTTTTCTTCTTATGCTTCTTCTTGCTCTTTTTCTTGCTCTTTTTGGACTGTTTGTGGCGGCGGCGTGTGTTGGTATCATCGTTATTTTTATCCGGTTTCTTTGGGCTCCTTTCTCTGCTCTGCTTATTTCTTTCCCCCTCTCTGCTTGAGCTTCTTGACCTTTCTCTTGCTTTTCCCTGAGTGTCTGTATCTTTGTCTCGACTGTCTCTCTCTTCACTTCTATTCCTACACCTGTCTTTATCTCTACTCCTGTTTCTCAGTCGGTCTTGCTCCCTGTCTCTACTCCTACTCCTCGACCTGTCTCTACTCGGTCTCAGGTACCAATCGTTCCTCCTCTCACTGTGTCTGGACCTGGACGACCACTTGTCCTCTCTATGCTGGTGGGAGGCCCTGCTCTCTCGACTCCTCTCTCTGCTCCTGCTCCTCCGCCTGTCGCCCTCTCTTCTGCTGTGGGATCTCTCAGACCGTGGCGGGCTTCTGCTGCAGTGACGTTGCCTCCATGATCGGTCTCCGTATCGCTCCGATTGCCACCCGTCTCTGCGACTCCCCCTGACGCTGCGGTCTGGTGACATGTGCAGGTCCCTGTCGGCCTCCCAGAATTCATTGCCAGGGTTTCGAAATACATGCAGGAAGTTACAGTGCTTCCCTTTGGGGCACTTCTGTCTGTCGAACAACCCTGAGAGAGGAAAGGCAAACACACACAAGATTGTAAATACACTGAACCGAATTTTGTAACTCTGCTGTAATGTCACCAAGTGAAATTGCCTCACAGTTCAGCATGAATAAGTAACTTACCACATATAGCATTCTTCCACCGTGTAACAGGACATATCTCACAGTGAAGCTGCCGGCCTGCGTACCACCTTCCATTGAACTTGATTAAGGCGTCCTTACACTGCTCCTCTCTGGACAGACAACAGAGAGACAACAGAGAGACAAGAGGAGAAAGAATGATGAGTTTTATCCAAAAATTCAAACACAGCACAGTTTATTTATTTAGAAAAAAGTCGTGGAGTTGTTGTGTGTGAAGGCTTACGTGTCAAACTGAACATAAACATTTCCTCTCAGGTGCGGTTCGTAATTGCAGCTGACCTAAAAAAAAAAAAAATAGGTTTCAATGAAGCCAAACATGTATTTTGAGTGGGAATCATTTGATCATCCTTCCAGTGGTTAGCCTGAGCAGTGGCGCTTGAGGTTTTTTTACATGGCAAAAGAATTACATCTTCATTTTGTACCTAATACAGTTTGAATTTTGTAGCACAAATCATTTTACTTCACTTCCTGGGTAACAGAAAAATAATCTTTACAGCAGTTTATATTGACTTAATTTAATTAATAAAGCATCTTAAATGAGGGGCGAAACACCTTTAAGACATACAGAGTGAGACAGTTCCCTGTGACCTGGTACTTCAAGACATATTTCACACCGAGCACATTTACTATAATGCCGGTTAGAAACCTGGTTACATGTATTCATGGCTGAAAGATCTAGCTGGGGAAATCAGGTTTTCCAATCTCCTAGACATAAAGTCGTGGTGACAACGAAACTGGATTACCTCAGAAAGCAGAGTGTAATTCGGGTAAACTCACTGGCTGTCTCTAATCTTACCTTGAATTGCACCACCTTGCCGATACTCTTCAACTCTGGCAGGACATCGTGGTAGAAGTCGAGGAAAGACTCCTGCAGCTCCTCCTCACTGTGCTCCAGCCAAGCATCAATGTCGTAATCATCTCGGCGCGACTCCTCCATGCCAAATGTTATAAACATACCACGGATCATCAGAGTTGGGCTGGCTGTGGGATGAACGTGTTTCCGAGAACATCTGTACTCACAAACCCAGAAGAGAGGATGGAGGGAGGAGGATGTTCTTTAATGCGTCTGTACATCCGTTCAATCACCACTCGAATAGTAGGTTTATAAATTTAACGTAACAAGTCACATCTAAAGAGAAACAAATAGTACCTGTCTCCAAATCGACATGCTCCGGTCTTCAGGAAGAACGGACAGTTGGCTACGTCGCGCTCTGTCCCAAAGTTCTCAGAGTTCTCTGTCACAGGAGCCTCAGGATTCATCCATGGTCCCCCATTATCTAGCTGGAAGTGAGAACATGAAGAAAAACATATATAGTTGGACTTCAATGGGAATATGTAGCAACGGATACAGTTCATATACCTCTTAGCTTTTTAGTCTTTTACATGGTCACAAGACCTGACATGGACTTCTAAGTCCAAACTCATTTACAAGCCCTTTTCTATACTTGTGATGACCCTGAGGTTTGCAAATATTCTAGTGCTGCGGTCACAGTAAGTCACCCTTGATAAGTGGAAACAGAAAAAGTGAAATCCAAAGATTCATATTTGAGATATTAGATATTTGATCACAATCACAAAAAAACATGATTAGCAGTTTATTGGCTTTAAACACGTAACTAAACTGTTTTTATGAAAATCAGTTTCATCTGATTATCAAAGAACTGAGACTGATAAATGTACCGAGCAAGATGTTTCTGTTTAAAAAACTAAATTGTTAGTGCTTTGGTGGAAAATCTATGTAATAGAGACACTATGGAATTAGTGCATTCATATCTTTGGCATGTCTGGTAAGTAACAAGAAATAATTTCTCATACAATATATCTGCAAGGATGGTGATATATCAACGTGGTCAAATTATTAGTCTGGGTCTTGAAAAGTTGTTTCTATAAGCCTGATGCCTTGAACACTTTTCATTGTTTTTTTTAATGTGTCAGGTCCAACTGTGCCTGGAAATATATAAACATATACATTAAAGTTGAGTTCCAAGCCATTAGGAGTAAGATACAGAACTTAATATACCCAGCAACCTGGGGTCAAAATAGTCACTATCGAGTTATCCGTGTTACATGACATTCATGTGTGTTTATACCTGGTTTTCAGCTTCATCCAACATTTTCTGAACAGCCTCCTACAAATGGTGTAAAGACACAGGTCAACATACTGCAGCATATCTGTTACTGTGTGTTAAGATCACATTTACAAGGACTGGCATTTCAACATTTCTGGACTTTTTTAAAAGCAATTCCACAGACTGTTTCCACACAAAGAAAAAGATACATCCTTGTTGTGAGAGCTGAAGGGTTTTTCTCTTTGTGTGTGTCTTAGTTAAGGAGTTGGATGGTTGCTTGTGCCACTCAGTCAAGGAAAAGTTTTTAAAGATTCACGTACAAAGCAAAAACACATTTTACAAAAGAAAACACTCAGCTGGTGACATATGCATTATGATTGTCGGAATCATCTCTTTTGGATGGATAATCTAAATACTCATAATTAAGTAGAAGAGGATATATTTCTTTTTGTTTCTATCCTCCTGGGGCCCGTATCACCTCTCTGCCTCGCTTCTCCTGCTGCTTCTGCTCTTTTTCCTCTTGCTCTTTCCTCTGCTGGGCCTCCCATTCTTCCTTTATCATCCGCTGTGAACACAAAAAGGCATAAAGTCAGTGAATATTAACATTTTATTCAGAATACATGATCGAACAGGCTCGGGTGCACTTATTATTCACATGCCAAATTGTTAAGCTTCTCGATTTGTAATAGCTCTCTATGATAAGTACAAAAAGTAGATTACCTCCTCCTCCTCTTTTCTTTTCCGTGCAGCTTCCTCCCTCTCAAACCTCAGCCTGAATACCTCCTGGGCAAGTCTCTCTTTTTCCAACCACTCTTCATGTAGCCGAAGTCTGAGAAAACAAGTCACACACAATGAAGGTAAATGAAAAACCGTACAATCAAAGTTTCTATTCAGTCTCTCACTGAATGTGCAGCTGCAGGACAGCAGAGTGACATTAGTATTGACCTACCTTTCCTCCTCCGCAATACCATTATCCTCATCATCTTCATCGTTTATTTCTTCATCTTCTTCTTCGTCAGGTGCATAGCTTGCTCCATTTTTTAAACCTACAACACAGCACTGTAGTTAATCTGGCCGACACCTACATCTGTAGAAATCAGCAATGAAATTTAACACCAAAAACCAAAGCTTTCTTCATACCAGTTCCTCTGGCTTGGGCGAGGGCTTGGCGTTTCCGCTTTCTTCTTTCTTTCCTAAGAGCAGCCCTGCGTTGCTTTTGGCTGAAGTGAAAGAGATGACATTTGAAACTGTAATCAGATCAGATGAGGAGAGAGAAGTGCTCCCAATGGCTGCAGAGGGAATCT